TGTGTCTGCACATGTGTGTGTGTGTTACAGGCAGAACTGTGATCCTTTCGGCACTCGAAGAATTCTCGGAAAATTCTCGAAAAGTCACGGAACAAAAATGCACGTCGTACGACTCGTCGCGCCACTTCGTCGGCTCGTTGGCCAACGGGTATATATTCGTGAAATCAGAAAAATGCGAGTAGATTACTCTCCCTGGTTCTCCCTCGGTAAAAATATCGTATCATTTATCTGACGTTACCCGGGCGCGTCCTCGTATTCAAGAAATCTTTAAGTTCTTTAAATAGGAAAATTTTGCCGGAATCATATCGTCGCTTTTGCGACGCAATGCATAATGCATAATACTCCAGAAAATATCTAATGTAATTTATATTAGTGAGCAGTTCTTCCTTCCCCCTCTCTTTGTTCCTTACCCCGTCACGTTTTTCTCATGTTATGAAACTTACTGCAACAAAATTTTAATCATACAAACGGAAAAGAAACTTGCGCAAATCTATCGAGACTTTTAGAAGAAAAATGAAAACAGAGGAAACAAATTTCTCAGTTAATTTTACAAGCGGCTATTTAACATAAATATTTTCATATTTAATTGTCGCCAGGAAGTACAGTATGAAAATTAGAAATTTGTAGAAAAATGGTGGCACTTGTCTAACAGGCGTTTGTCTTACAACAACGAGAAATCGACGTAATGCTCGTTAATTAGTCTTTTTTACTCTCTAACACCTTTATAAAATTTTATTGCTGTTACGTGTGTAAGTTTATTCAGATGGACTTATCGAGGTAACAAGCGCAATTGCAAAAACCTTTGCAATTTATTAGAACACGGGATGTTCGGAATTCTACCGCAGAGGATCTACAATGCGCGAAAGGCGGATGTAAATTTCATATCCCGTTTAACCCGTCGATTAAAAGTGGTAGAAATTCACAGGACCATTGTAGGACCATTCCTCTTCGTAATTACTTTCATTAGAGTAACCGGCTGTCAGCAACGATTGCGATCGGTGATGAAGCGAAAATCATTATTTCGCAGAAGGAAGCGCGAAGTGCGATCGACTGTGATACATTCGTTCATCGATAACCGGCGCCGTTTTGCCCGTGACACATCGTCATGCTCGAATAGATGTGTATACCGATCGTAACTTTCTGTGTTTCGCCTAAAAGCAACGGTATTAAATGTTAATGTTAAATTAATCCTCCCGGCGCGCGAAATGTTTGACTTTGCGTCGCCTTCGCAAGCGACTTCCTTTGACGTACAGAAATTTACAAGTATGTGGATCTTTTTACCTGCATATTTGCAAATGCAATTTTATACATTACTTTTATGCATATACAGCCACTTGATAATTTTGAAGCGGAATTCCCAATCCGATATTTTATTAAAATAAATAATCATAAAAATGTTATACTGCGTAATAAATGCAAAACAACGTCGTTTGCTCGGAAACTGCTCGGAAATGTGATTTTTTTTTATTAATATCGCTCTTCCCGAAGCACGATATAAATAGCGATATTCTTTAATCTGCCGAAAGACACCATGTGACACAATCGCCTCATAAAAGCGTACATTTTGACACGAACAGCGGCTGCATAATCTTGGCTAAGCGCCAATACACGGCTATTAAAACAGCTATTAAAAATCTGCATTATAATTCCTTGCATGCAAGCGGGGCTAAACAACATTGTCAAGTTAATTAATGTCGGACACGATAGCGCAAGTAAATTATCTGTGTCTTTGTTATGCACGATTTAATGAAGCATATTTAACTGTAAAAATAATGTTGATGAGGGTGTACTGTGAACAAATTATATTGCAAATGTACATGGAACGTGTTCTTTTGTTGATTCTTCTCTCGCAAAAATTTGCTATTCCCACTCTGTTCTCCCGCGATACGAGGTTTCACACTTAATGCAAACAGTTTTTCATTTCTCGTGGGGACAAATAGGTGCCCGGTACTTTACCATCGTAGTTGCAAAGGTTCATAATGAAATGTAATTTAAATTGGCGGAAAGAAAAGAAGGAGGGAAAGAATCCAGGCTGCCGGGGGTTGCGATACGAAAAGTGTCGATGTCGATCGGCGAAACGTGACGGTGCTTTAACGAGGATTCAATTTTGTCACCGCCCGGTCGTTTCGTGCCCCGAGAAAACGCGGAAAGGAGTCAGGAACTTCCCGGGGAAGTTTCTTCCTCGGCGAGCACCGGGGTTTTTATTACCGGACGTCCGGGGAAAACTTTCTCTTTCGCGCGGTTTCGGCGCCGAAACTTTCGCCTGCGGCGCATAACCGTCGCAATCCACCCTCATGGCGCGGTCGGCACCGGTTTCTCTTTCCCTCTGTCGAGGAAGCTCCACGGAATTTGATCCGGATAGCGCATAGCGTTCGCGGATAGCGCTCTCGAATTTGATTCGCCTCGTCGCCGTCGGAAGTTTCTCGCCTCCGCCCGCCGTGACTCCGCTCGCGAGTCAAGGAAAGACAGTCAGACGTCTGTCTCGGTACGTCGCTCCAACCCCGACGTTCTCCACCCTCTCGGAAGAATCTAAATGCATTTTGACCCCGAGAAACGATTCGCCGGGAATGCAAATGTGTTCCCCAGCGATACTGCGGGAGTTTGTTACGCGCGACGTGTTTCGCCCCGGCGTAGGATGACTCGCCGGAGAGAGAGAGAGAGAGAGAGAGAGAGAGAAGAGAGAGAGAGACTCGTCGAGAAGGAGATAAGGCGACAAATAAGATGGGCGCTTTAAGTTTATTTTATCTATTTGTCTCCCAATTTGTCGCGCGTGTTCGCCTTCAATTATAAACTCCGGGAACAGGTTCCCGGTCCTTAATTCACGCTCAACCTCTCCCTCGGCGCGGATCTTATCAACCGGATTCCGGTTACGCAAACGAGCATGTCCAACAACAACGAGAGAATGTAATCTTCAAGGGAGGTTTCCCCCTTTCCTCCCCTCTCGCCGCGAGACTCGAGTCGAGTTGTATAATTTAACACCCCCGCTCGTGGAGTCCCTCGCACATAGAATTTATACGTCCGTTTCGCCGTCCCGATAACGACGTTCATCGCCGGCTGAAGCTCACTCTGCGAGCTTTTGGTAAACTACGCCGCTCGCTTTCGCGTAGCGAAAATTGAATGCCTGATTGAAGCCGCTTCTTATTCGAAGTGTCGAAACTAGTACTCGCAATTCCGACGATTGGCGAGCGGCGGCGATTCAATGACTCGCCGCTGAGTTTCGCGGGCGGGCACCCAGTTATTGTCAGATCCCGCTCGCCCCTTCCACCCCTTCCCCAGAGTACAGGGTGATAAAACGGGAAATGACGTCTGGTGCGTTTTTCACGTCATATCGAGCTACCAAGTGACATCCCGCTCTCGCGATGCTACCTCATTTAAATGATGGATGCGCGGGCGCCATTACATTCTTTCTGCGGCGGAGGGGGAGGGGGGGGGAGGTGAGGGAGCGCGGTTAATCGCCCGTCAACGTCTCGCGAATTTTCGCGATAATGAAGCACGGCCTCTCCAGGTCGGATCGACTTTGCGCCCTTATGCGGCATGGACGCAGTCGGACCGATAGGATCGCGCCAATCTCTCGCCGCGGAAATCCAAAATGATGAGAAGACGAGCGAGCTTGGCTCATTAACAGATCCCTCTTTTTTCCTCTTTCCCTTTGCGTTTTATTATTTTTTTTTTCGCTTTATCGAAATATACAAACGCGAAAAGTTTCCCTCGACGGCAGTCGTTCCCGAAATTAAAAACGCGTTTCTCCTACGCTGATGCTTTATATACGAGCAGATTTTTAATAATTAATAAAGTCTGGAGCGACGGAATGAGCTCGTCGTCAAATTGGGCGCTCTCGCATGTGTGTCATTGCCTTAGAACTTTCACGTTTCGTCTAATAGCGTCTGACATTGGGTGGATTAAATATTAACGTAGCTTCGCTTTGAGTGATTCGCCTGTCGCTCGACATGTTTGCAAGTTAATGTTATAATAATCGATCCTAAGAATGTTGTAAGGAAAAAAAAGCGAAAAATTATAAACAAAACAGCTTTCCAAGCTTCGAGAGACATTTTTAAAATTTACACTTAACGTTTGCGTTGTTTTTCTTTCAAAGCTTCGGGGCTGTGCGAAGTTTCATATCAAGATTGTCAAATGTTGGTGTAAGATAATGTATTATGCGGAGATAAATATTTGCTGAAAAAAACAAGGATTTAGAAGAGCTAGTTCGAAAAATCACGTACGCTTGGTAAAAATAGAGGAGTGCTTTTGCAAAAAGGAATCTCTCTCTGATATGTGAATTTTGCCAAAGTCAAATTGATCAACTCTACTCTGTACATTTTTTAATTTAAATATTAGGGCACACGACGAGTTTACAACGTTATTAATTTTTTCTGCTTTTCATTTTGAGTTGATTACATCAAAATACATTTGGGGGGAATTTCCTCTTTAAATTGAAACGCTTTTACGATATGATATTTCGCGATCCAAGGGGCCGCCCCGAGCACGGCTTTTATCGCCTTTGTTCGGGCACACAAAAGAAAGCTGCGTAATAAATAATTTGTTGAGCGATCGAACTTGCCGAGATGAGCGCGGAAGATGCATTTCAGGCCGTGATTGCTTGCAGACGAGACAGAGCAGCGGCGCGGTTGGAAATGACGCCGAGAGACAAGAAGAGGGCACCAGCCCCCTGGATTGCACCCCGCGGACGCCGACGACGACGATGGCCGTGACAACCTCGGCGTTGGCGACGCAGCCGATCGTTTCTACGGGATCCTGCCCTGACGTCTCGATGAATCTGCAACGCCGGCGACTACGACAACAGCAGAAGGAGGAATTATCACTGACGAAGTCGACGGATACGGCCATATCCTCGTCGTCCATCTGCGACGAGTCTTCCGTCAGAACCCCGCTCTCCGCGAACGTTCTTCTGTCCTTGCCGGCTTCACCGAAACGATCGTCGGCGAGCCACTCCTCGTCCGGCAAGACGTCCATATCGAAGTCGCAGATGAAAGGTGAGTCGAGATTTAAAGTGTTCCGATCCGATTGCGTTGATAGAAAAAAAAAGACCAACAAAGAGATAAAAAGATTGTTTATAATTGTGTATAAATTAATATTTGAAAGCCACTCATTACATGATCAAAATCAAAAATTTATATAATTAATTTAACACACGTCAATGAATTGAAGAATATACATCTATAATGTGTAAAAATTTATAAAAAAAAAATCAAATTGCAGTGCAGAATGTCTGTCCTTTTTCCCTCTTTAACGCGACATTCAAGCGGCACGTCACGTTATCGATCTCTTTCTGGATTTAGATTAATATTTCATTAGTTGTACGACAGGTTTTTCGGCTGATTGACTATCGAGAGAAGTTTTTCGGAGCTTTCAGAAATTCTTCGTCAAATGGCCAATCGGGCATAAAAAACTTGTCGGAAAAACTTGAAAAATCACGATCTTTATTCGTTCCGAACAAGGCAGATAATTTTATCCGAACGGTACTATTCTATTTTTGTAAGATATATCTCACCTTTTTTTTTATACGCTACGCTAAACATAGCAATATCATATTTGCGATAAAGATCTCGATACTTTCGCCATATTAAAGGATGTAAGTTCCGAGTTTAAAAAGAAGCGGTCTCTAAAATTATCACACAGATATGATACAGATATTATAGAGATATACTACAACAGAGAAATATAAAAGATAAATGGGCGTGTTAAAATAACAAAATTAAAGTGATAATTTTATAATGAAAAATGATTCGCACTTGTCGTCGTTGTGATATCGGGCTTCGCATCGCGAAATGCAAATTTGTACTCTTTTGATGGCGGCGTCAGATGCGGCGGATGATGGAGATACCTACGGCGGCGGATTCAATTTGGCATGCCCGGTAAACGGGATATCTCGCCTGCTTGGTGTCACCACTTCGTTAATCCCGATAAAACTACGCTCGCCCGGCGCGGCCCGGCGTATGTGACTTCATTCAGTTTCGCGCGGCCATTATTTTCCCACGTCGTTATCGCCGTCGTACACGACGAGTGCACGCTCGAGAATCGAGAATCGGGGCCAATTGATCGATCAGATCTGCGCGTGAGATAAATAATTTCGCGTTTTGCGTACAACGTGTCACGCAGATGTCGAACATTTTTTGCTTTTTTTTTTTATTTTTTTTTTTATTTTCACACGTCGTCCATCATGCGAGCGACTTGTTTTTCCTTCTGCCTTTATAAACATCGCTATTGAATATTACATTCTCGATACTCGCATCGGGGACCGGATGAATAGCGAATCTCTCCAATCGACGTCAAACAAATTGCATTGTAATACCTGTAATATCGTTTCACATTTCGTGGTGTTCTTCGCTCTCTTTTTTTTTTTCCGCATTTAATTATTCTTGCTAAACCGTCTGTAAATTTTCTATGACGAATCTTCGAAATCACTTTGGAAAACCTTTTAATTAGAGAATGAATGGTTTTCCCATTTCTTTTTGAGAGAACCCAAATGCGAAAATGCGAATGGACGGATGATTTTCTTTCGGATCTTTTTTCCCCTTTGTGACATGAGTTTTGTGGAAAATGACATTAACTCGAAAGTATTCATCGACAAAACTGAATAACCAATCTCCCGGTAATTTTTATTGCAATGTCGTGACAGTCGTAAGGTCCGAATGAACTTTGTTTCTTTCAGAGCAACAACGATGTTAATGAAGGAGCTCGTCAATATCTTTAATACAGTTTGAAACGGGCGCTTATTAGTTACTGCTTAAATATATTTTAATTTTCAAGAAACTCGTTTAACTATAGACAAACTATTTGTTCAACTTTGTTTTAAACAGCTAACTTTATATACTACACAATCGATTAGCCTTCAGTTTCATTACATCAAATATATTCCGTAAAATTTCTTTGAAAGTACGATCTCACAATCCGTGCGAATAAAATTTTATATGGATTAAATCCTGTTCTTCAATTCTCTAATATGATAAATATTTTTTCATTAATTTTTCTTTTTTTATCTTCTTTTTCTTCAGATCTTAATCGTTGAAAATACCCAAGAAAGTCAGGTGTCTTTTTATACTTTGATGATACTTCGACGAACGTAATTTTCTTTCGGAAAATCGTTACGTGTTTTCTGTCTCGATATAAAAAAAGCTCTTCTAATGCAGATATTGTACATACTATTGTTTGTGTTGTCAATTGACACTAGAATATGAAATCGCAAATAAAAAAAGGAAACTACCTTGAAGTATAAAAATTAATTAAAAAATTTTACTTAGCAACAATTTTTATTTCAAGCTAAAAAAAGTTTTCTATTTTGTGCGTTATGATTATTCTTGTTACAATTTGTTTATTTAAACGTTTTTTAGAATAATATTTAAAATTATTTAAATGTCCTCACTCTTAATATTAAAACATTGAATTTTAATTTAGATAATTGCATCTTTTGTTAAAAAAATTTATATTCGAGAGAAAGCATGCAGGATACAATCTTAAGTTTCTATTTCACACAGTTCAATAGTCAAAATTTTTGAGAAGTCGTCATGGTAATCGTTGCGTTGTCAACGAATATTTATTGGACTTCGATGACTCGATGTCCAAAATATCATTAGCTATACGCGGCAACTTTTTTCTAATAAGTTTCAAGTAGCAATCAGAAAGAGAGAAACAAAGATGACGACAATGTTATCACATCTGACAGAAGGGGGAGGGCGTGAAAATCCATAGATAAAGAAGAAGGATTGTTCTCTACTTCCCGTCTGGAGTCCAGTTTCGGTGATTCCTGCGGCAAATGCGATCATCTGAAATTACATTTATGCTTCAAGATAATATGTAATTTTATTTCGGAGCGTCTCATGTGCAACGCGCATCCGAGGCAAGATTCGAGTCTACTACGAGGTTACAAGTAAAGACGTAAGATGCGATCGAGTCGGTTACATTGGGATCCGACCCGTTTCTTCCGTTCGTGGACACGGGCAATCGTGCGTGGATACGCGTATAATGCTCCGGCGGAATCAACGGCGCGGGAAACGAGGCCATTAAACGATCGAGTTAAGCGCCGTCGAGCCGAATCCGCATCGGTTTGTATACTCGTATCTCGTCAAATTCGCTCCGGGAATTCCACCACCAGCGACTGCCCTTAGTCAGTTAACCATCTCCACCCCGGTGACCGATCCCGAAGGGCAATTCCGGAGAGGATACTTGACGTTGATGTTGGGCTCGGAACAGACTCGACAAAGTATGAAACATTCCAAGTGCAAAATGCTTGATCTAATTATTGTAAAAATTATTATAAAATTATTGGAAGGGATTAAAATTTTTTTTCAGCGCCCGAGGAAAGTCAAAGTAATTTTAGTTATTTCTTAAGTGGAAAAAGCAAAACATATATTGGCAATGCTATTTACATTGATTTCTTTTTTTCTTTTTTTCTTTTTTTCTTCCCCGACAGAATTCAGAGAGGCCTTCAGGCTGTTTGACAAGGACGGCGATGGAACTATCACGAAAGAAGAACTCGGCAGGGTTATGCGTTCCTTGGGACAATTTGCGAGAGCGGAGGAGTTGAGAACGATGCTGCAGGAAATCGACATTGACGGTGAGCGGCAGCTCTATTATCTATTTTATAGTAAAGTTAGGAAGAGTTTTGAATTGCAAATGTTTTTCCGTCCCGTTTGACGCTTGATTATATGATTGTATAATATTATCGAACGAATGTGTGTTATTATTGGTAATTATTGCTTTAATTTATCTGGTCAAAGAAAAAGAATTAGGCTAGTGTGCAATTTCGTATTTATGTATTATTTTGAATCATTATAGCGGAAAATTTGGAATGCTTCAATTTACTAATACGCGTATGCAACGCTTAACTCCAATATAACGCTTATATTGGATCTAGTACTTATTATTGGATTTATTCAATTAATGTAGAGAGGGAGAAATTAGGCTAATATGTAATGTAATTGTATTTGACATTTGAATTGTTCGATGAGAATTTAAGCGCTGCGTTTTATTGAAACGTGTGGTATTGACCACCGGCATGTGTGATATTGCGTACGATATCACGCCTTTTGTTTTTCCAACTCGCGCATTTTGAAAATTCCTCTTCACGTGCCACGTGTCGCTGAATAGATTACGTAGATAATATATAATAATATCCTATGACAAAAAAAAAGGAAAATCTCCAATTGATCGATTGTTTACATATAAAATTAGAAAATATGAAAATAGGAAAATTTACAATAAATTTATTAATATATTACCGTTTATTGTTATAATTATTAAAAGATAACACGCGTGAATTCTTACAATATATCACTTTATCCCGCAACATATGTTATTTTACCTTTCCTCGCGAATGCTCGTACGACGTGGCGTAAAGAAACAATCTTTAAAGAAACAATCTTTAAAGAAACAATCGCAAACGCGAACGTTATCCAGGCAAGCACGTTAAATCACGTCGCTATTTCCGACACGAGGTACATTGTCGAGATTACGAAATAATCATAAAGCAAGCCGAGACACCCGTATTTCCCGAGCTACCGTTTGCACGACGAAGCGAGTCTGTTACAGATAGTAGTATTGCTCGACGTCGCTGAAAGTTTACGTCGTTTTCTCTCGCTTGCTTTTCTCCATTCGCCGCTTCCACGCAATCGCCCACGCAATCTCGTGCCCGTCGGCAAATCGCCTTAATTGCAGCTAATTCTCACGAAACGCTCCGACAATGACCGTGTTCTTGCCGGGAGGAGATAACTTTATGAAGCCTCTATTATGATCCCCCGGGCGCTGGTCGATTTCTTACTTGTTAACCCCGAAGATTCTCCTCCCCCGAACTCCATCTCTTTACGTCGCTGTATTCAATTTCGCAACCGCTGCATCAGGATTTACGTAAGATCTCCCATGTCCCGGTGACTCCTTCAGGCTTTCCCTTCGTGTTTGCGACAGCGATGCTTCATTGTCTGTCGAAAAGGTCCACGCGAAATCCACGTCGATACCTTTCGAACTCGTTATGTGTGACGCGAACCACAGTTTCCGATAGCTTATTTATGATCAGGATACCCTCTCGGGGCAGAACATACTTTATCCAGCAAAAATAAGCAACAACGAATGAAATGGGAAAAATCTCTTAAATTGTGAATCCTTTTTGTTACCTCTGTATTAGACCCTGTTGACCTTTCTGTATTATTTATTCATGAAATCTGTAATGGATCGAATCTAATCAAGTTATAAGTATCATCAATCTTTATATACACTGAAAAAAAAAACAAAATAGGTCTGACGACTATATTTATGACAATTATGAAATTTAAATACCTGCACCTAGTTTTTCAAAGTAATAAGTACGAGTAGTATTGAATACAATAAAAATATCGTCATGGTAACAATAAATGTGAATTATTAATTGATAGCGTTTCAAAACAAATAAATAAACGTTTCAAAATATTGTCATTTTCGGGAAATTTTTCTGAAAATATATTATAATTATATATATATATTATAATTCCAATTATATATTATATATATTATAATTCCAAATAATACGGACCGATATTTTTCTCAATCGCGAAATCGCTATTGATAATTCGACAAAAGCGGGTCGGTATATTGATCGAATGGTGCAAATCCTTGTACCTGTTGCTAGTCCGCTCCAAAATGATTGACTATTACCAATTTCATTTTCTCCATAATCGGAAGAACTGCGGAATAAAATCCGCGATGAAAAACGATTATCTACTGTTCCTCGAAAGGCTCGACCGAACGTTTTTCGGGAAATTCAGCTTCACTTTCGAGTCGCTTTATTCGCGACAAAAGAATTGTGAGGGGAAAAAACGAGGCGATTAAAACTCGCGTGAGAACACACCGCGGGGATGTAAATCGAAGTTCTTGCGTGTTCCAAAGAACGAAGTAATTACAGCTGCGGAGGTACATCGTTTCGGGAGGAGATATTATTCGCAAGTTGGAATTCACTTGCACGAGCTAGCTGAGCTGCGGGAGAAGTGCGGCTCTCTGAAAGTGACAGTAATTTTCAACGTCCCGGGATTAGAGAGCGAGAGAGAGAGAGAGAGAGAGAGAGAGGTCGATGGAAAAAGAGATCCCCGAATTTAACCTCTGGCCCGGACTTCGTTAACGCGCCGAGTGGTCGCAAGAAGGGAATTTAACGGGTCTGACGTGGAGGAGAAATATTTCTGGGATCGTACGAAAATCGCGGTCGTAAAAAAGGAAAGAAGAGCCGAATCGCCGCCAAGCCAGGCGACCGTAGTCGCGAGCAAAAAAGAGACCGACGCGAATCTCGATAATCGCCGAAGCAGTCCTCGTCCCGGGGATATTTCCGAGGGAAATTACTTTTCCGTTTGAATCGCTCGAATCTGTGCTCCACGTACCGTTACGAGAGTAGATATGGTTTCGCGGGCTGTCGTCGTCAATCGCGAATCGTGTGAACATCGCGTGAAATTATTCGCCTCCGCCCGCTGCGTTGGCTTAACGTAACTTTTTCGCGATTCTGCGAGAAAAGAGCGTAACGCGCGTGCGCGCGTGCCGTTGAAAATGATGTTCATCACTTTTCAACACGAATACTCTCGCCGAATTACATTTTTTTTCCTGCCGGCGGGACATCGTGATTCTTCTGCGTAACATCTCTCTCGCCGTACCTGCGAGTTTCTTGAATGAAAATGAATTCTCGATCCAATCGCGGGAAGCGCTGATGAAACAAGTTGTTAAGAAAAAGGAAGGAAGCTGGAAAGTTCACGAACTCTTCGCTATCAAATAGATTGCGTGCGGATTTAAGAGTTTTCCCATTTTCTTTACTTATTTTGTTTCGAAAACTTCCATTCTCGCGGATTACAAGACGATCATTGATATAGTTTATTACATATCTATAATTTTGTTATAATAAATTATTTATTGTTCTTCTTTTTATGTTTACAAAAATATGTTTTTAAATAATCATTTTATAATCTTGGAAACAATGGATCAATAAATCAACGTATGGCTTGTGCAGCATGAAAGTTTTCTAAGAATTTCCTTCTTTAGCGAAATCTCATTCCGTGGAAATAATAATCGTGAAAAGTTCGGCGAAACGTCGCTCGAAAACCGCGACTTCAAAAAGTCTGTTGTATGTCCACATCCACGCTAATAGCCATAGTCGTTATCGTTATGCGACTATCAAAAGCTATGTAACTGTTATCATTACTTCCATTTTATGATTAGCGTGGTTAACGCCGTTTTTTTTGCCGAGGGCTCGTTGGCGAGAATTTACGAGCGGCCAAAAGAACATTTCAAAGACTTCTCGTTTGATTTAACTGATCCGCCTGTTCTACAAATGCGATTCGATTGCAAGCGAGATGCGGCCGTTACTTAATTCCTAAGTCGTAATCCGCTAAACTGGCGAGGAAAGAACTCTATTAGACACAGTAAACGCTGAACTCCCGTCGACCAGGCACGTCGGAACAAAGTGATATTCAAATCACGATATCGAGGGAGCAGTTTCGCAGGAGATTAATTTGTTCCTCTCGCTCCAACGCGATTAGCTCGACGACAGCTTTAATGATACTTTAATTGACTCCCCGCCGGGAGCTTTTCAAAATTCGCCCCCGATATTCCCGCGAACGAATAAAATTCCATTTCATTATGTACGCGGTTCTTTATTCACTCGGCGCACCCGATGGAGCGCATAATTCCGATATCCGACGAAATAACAGCTATCAAAGTTTTCTAAACCGGTAAATTAGAGATCCGCGTGGCACTGACGTTGAATGAGTTAAATGAAAACGAAGCCAATCTCCGCGCGACGTCGGGCGACCGGCGCGGCGCTTCGACGGGACATAACTCTATGTTTTCTACGAGAGTGTGGTGTATTCGCGCGTCCACACGTTTTACGTTTTACCGTTCGTTACTACCATCTACAGAGCCGTATCGCCCCCTGGATGGCAGTCTGAGTGTGAGCTCCGAAACGGAGACACTGAGAGCCTCTCCTCGTGATGGTAATTAGCGTCTGTGTCTGGGTGCACATATCGATAATATACCGGGCTTCACATATTAAATACGATACGCCAAAGGTGGCACGTAGCGTTTAATTAGGCCGGAATTAGGTCTTGATTGAGTAGAACTATGTGTCAGACAGCTTTGACACGTGCTCCCTGCGCTCGCTGCATTATTTAAAGAGTGGCCCGAAGGAAGACGTATCAGAATAATCCGACACAAAGGCGGATCGGACACGTGTGAAAATATATGCGTTTAAAGTTCGATTACACCATATTACACGCCTGTCGAGTAATGCCAAGGAGCGCGATCGATTGAATATGTAAATGACCGTTAAAACGAATTACGGAAGTACAAGTAGAATTTTGTTCAAGAGTAAACGAGACTTTCGTAAAGTCTCTCTCTCTCTCTCTCTCTCTCTCTCTCTCTCTCTCTCTCTACTCGTCGTACGTAGGAAGAGATCGCGCGAGAGCACTCGTAAACAGGTCTTTGATTGAGAGTACTCGAAAGAGATCGAGAGTTATCTACGGCATAATTATTGAAAATTGAGGCGTTCTCTTCTCGATACTCAGACAGAATTTCGAGAAACTTTAAGGGCAGGGAATGTTGTAGGAAGTAAGA